GAAAAGGAATTACCTTCCATGTTCTTGAGTAACTACAGAGCTGTAAGATTCCGCCCAAATATCCCTCCTCTGTGGCAATGCTCCTGCATGCTATAAATACAAAGTTAATTTGTGCAATGTGTGGGCTCACGCTTGGAAATGCAGAGGACTGTGCAGGCTAATATCCTTCCCAGGAAAAAACACAGCATGACATACAAACGAAAATGGTGCAAGCAAGAGGCAGCTCAGGGTCTCCAAACCAAAAACAACGACATCTTTTCCAAAGGTGGACCAAATGTCCCAATGGTGCTGAGCAGAGAAAAGAGAGGAGGTCAAGAGAAACCAGAGTTTTTGCACAAGGAAATGACTGGAGGATGAAAAGGGGGTGGCAGGAGGCCGAGCTCACTGCAGTGGAACGGCTGGCGCACAGTCAGGCGATACGTGGCTGCAGCCCAACGTGTTAAAAATCCTCTGGCGTCTATCACCATTTGTTTGGGAGTGACTTCATTTCCAAACTTTGGGATAAATATTAGCATGGCTATTCAAGATAGCCAGGACACCCAGCCCCTGTTTTTTCTCACTTCATGGCTTTTAGGTGTGGACTGTAACACATCACTTAAGAAGCACAAAACAAGATTTTACTGAATTTACAGTCACTGCTCTGGGCTTGAAACAAAAAACAATTGCTTTGATTCGGTTGGTGGTAGGGTTCCACCCAAGGTCCCTGGGAAAAGTTAATTAAGGACAACTTAGGCCATTACACACAAGGAAATCAAGCAAAGTGGGGAGAAGCAGCCCACTTTGCTTCTGGGAAAGTGATGTCATGTCCCAGGAGGGAGGATTCACCTGGGATTTATTTCATTTTTGGAACCTCAGAAATTCAACTATTTGATCACCCTCTTATCTCCAGTAAATAATTTCATTATTATTTTATTTAGTTACCATGCATTCTTGATTTTATGCTTACTACCTTGTTAGCATACCAAGCTAATTGATTCTATGCCCAATGCCTTGTTACTGTACGAAGCTAATTGATTACATTGATACATGTTACGGGAGGATCTTCCACCAGATTTAAAAACACAGCTCGATTTTATTTTATTTTTTAGCTGTCTCTTCTTTTTCAGTGACCTACACATCTCCTTAGAAACATACTGCACACGTGACCCCTAACAGCCTGGGATCCCAAGGCTCCTATTCAAAGAGGTAAAAGAGAGGACAACGGGGGATTCACTGTGTGAATTTCAGCAAAGGAGACCAAAGCAATGGTCTACACAGAAATACACCTTGAATCCATCTAGGAATAAGAGCAAGAGCTGGAGGAGCTGCCAGCAGGAGTAACACTGCCAAGGGGAAGGAGAGGTTCTGTGTTGGGATGTCCCTCAACACAACACAGGTCCCCAGCATCACCTGGTATCTGCAGGAACAAAACCCTCTTGCCTTTCCATATTGGAGCTAGAAACAGGACTGCTTCCCATCACCCATCCCTCTGCTAAAATACAGACTCTAGAAACCAGCTGAGTTTTGAAGCAGGAAAGAACAGGACAACACTGATGACTGCCAAAGACTATCCAGAGCCTCCTCAAGAGGCCTTGGGGATTTCAACCAGCTCCTCGAATTTGGGCACAAGGCATAGGACACATGCTCAGTCCCCAAAAGACGTGTTTCAACCTCAGAGCTCTCAACAGAACAATTGCTGCCTATGCCAAGAGTCCAGCTGAGTTTTGAAGCAGGAAAGAACAGGACAACACTGATGACTGCCAAAGACTATCCAGAGCCTCCTCAAGAGGCCTTGGGGATTTCAACCAGCTCCTCGAATTTGGGCACAAGGCATAGGACACATGCTCAGTCCCCAAAAGACGTGTTTCAACCTCAGAGCTCTCAACAGAACAATTGCTGCCTATGCCAAGAGTTGCCATGTGTCCCCAAAAGACGTGTTTCAACCTCAGAACAATTGCTGCCTATGCCAAGAGCTGCCATGCCCTGTGGGTAAGGTTACACAGGCTGCATTTTCTAAACCACTTGCAGAGACAGCACGCTTAAGAGTTGTTATTTCTTGCAATTTGTGTGTTGGATGGTTTACTAAAATTAGGAAAAAGTATATTCCAGAGCTGGAACATTTATGGCTTCTATACTGTTACTGTATATTTTAATTCTTAAAAATAGATTTAAGTGACATGATAAGTAAAGAGTCCTGTTTAATCTATTTCAGCCTGTTTGCCACATTCTTGGTTTGGCCTGTTTGGCTTGTTAATTTAGAGATGCATAAAACCATCTGTTTCACTGTAGACTTTGTTTTAAGCCTCAGAGGAAACAAACCACACAAATAAATGAAATTCCCTATGTCATTTCTGTTAGAATATATGTATTTAGAGCCAGAAGAGCAGACAACAAGTACCCCATAACTCTAATGTTAGTGCAGGTTTTTAACTATTTACAATGCTGTTATAAAAAGCCAGTGCGACTGAATTTATTTCACACAAGGGATTTCCTTAAATTGTATTCCACCTCTCATTTAAAGTGAAAAACAGTGGTATTTTGCACATTGTTAAAAGAATGTCATAAAGAAAGAAAAAGAAACAAGATTCATAATTAAAAAAATATATCTTGGAAAAGATACATCCCAGGAAAAGATACCAAATAGCCTGAATTTCTGTCTCTGTGGTTTGTAAAGGCAAAAGAGTCACCTACATGCTTATCCTCTCAACACGACTATAAACTTCAGCAGTCAGACTCCATTTGTCAAAAACAGAGCAGACCTACAATTTTGTACTCAACACTATTTCACTAAGAACACACATTCCCTGAACCTCAAGTTTTTCCAGTAGTGCATTTTATTGAGAAAAGGCTCCTGTTCCAGATGAGAGTGAGTAAGAAGAAAGTCATCCCCAAATCAGTTGCCTATGAGGGAAGCTACCACTGACTTCTATTTTTGGGGCACAAGAATAATGCATGTTTTTATTTTGATAGGGATGATTTTTCATTTCAGGACTTGATTCTTTTCCCACAGAATAGTGTCCTTGCTTACTGACTGGGGTATTAGAGGGCTACTGTGCCTGCTGCACTGATATTTAGAAAGAAAAAGTGATTCTTTCAAATATAAGATTCCCCAATGTCTCCTTTCATCACTATTACACTATAGAGTCTGTGGCACAGACTATGGTTCTGAAGATTAAATATTTAACTAAGGAAACCTAAAGTTTTCAGTCATGGAGTAAATACTAAATCAATTTTAGAAGGTTCAGTGTTATACTGCATAACATTGTGCTGCAGGGTGAACAAGGAGCAGGGAGGTGGCCTAGTACTCAAAGTGGCTGATGAGGAATCAAAGAATTTAACTGAGCAGTTTTTAAAATGTATAAACCAATTGAAATTTCTAATAGAACCTCATTTGAAGACAGTTCTCCTAACCATGTTTCTCAGCAGGGAGCTCAGGTTAAGGGAATATATAGCTAAAACATAATGACTTCCAAAAACCTGAGCCCCTGACCCTGTGCTCCCACCCACCAAAGCACATAAGCAGGACTTTGAACATTTTAACAGTCCCACAGTCAGCTTCTTCCTTGCCCCCTTTTCTTTTTTTCCCTTCTCTCTCCTTTCTGGATTTTCTGAAAGTGGCCTGGATTTCCCTCCTAGAGTTATTTGATCCCCTGCCACGAGAAAAATCTGTTATGTCTTATTCAAGTGGCTAACCCAACTGCATCCCTGGTCCTTTCAGTGCCTTCCCACAGGGCAGTTAGCAGGGTTGTACTCACAATATTCATCAAGGTCAGCAGGTACTTCTGAACATGTTCTTTCCCATGGAACTGAACAACTGAGTCATCAACGCCCAGAAGGACTTCGATGTTGTAATCGTCCTCGGTCGCGTGTCTTCGATGGCGTTGCCTCGATCTCTGCACCTGCTCTTCAACCAGGCTCAACGTGCTGTCCAGACTATCCAAATTCGTGAGGTTAGCAGCTGAAATCCAACAGACAAACAAGAAATCAACCAAAAGATGTTCAGGCTCAGGTTTCAGCTAAGCTGGTATAAATTGTTAGTAGCAGCATTTGTTGTGTTCGGGGTGTTACGTAACAGCATTGGTTTCACTTAATGTCAATTAAACATTACCTAAACGAGAGAGAAGTGTGACTCAAAAAGGTTTTACTTTGCAAAGCAAAAGCAATACTTTCTATGAAGTAACACTGCATAATAAAGACAAGTCCAGAAGGACAAAAGGTCATACCAATGTCTTGATGAGAAGAATGGAGCTGTTTGCAGGAAAATACTTGAGCTTAAAAGCACTTCTAACAAAAATATGCTGTTCAGGAGTCTTGTGCTACCCAGGATTAACTATTAAAGATAGGCATCATACTTCAAATCTGATCTTACTGTTTCAAGGCAAGTGCAGTTGCTAACATAATCTTTTGCTATCCAGGCAGGTAGTAACAAACAATCCCCCCTGGATTCAACTTGTTAGCTCCTTTCCTAGACACACATGTGCAATCCAGCATTAGCCACATGGATCCTAGTTACCATTACAGCTCAGTACCACATTCTAGATATGAGATTAATTAACTTATAGCTACATTCACAATTTTATTCACAGCTTTTCATCCTTCATTCCAAATTTGCCATGTCACTTTGCATTACTGTATGTCAAAGACCAACCCATCAGGCACAACAGTAGCTTAATTCATTACTAACGATCCCTAATAGTCTCTGTGACGGGGGAAGCACATTCTCTGACAGGATGGGATACAGTTAATGCAGCACCTACTAAAAAATGAATCTGAAAATATGGAACCTTAACATTTCACCCTATAGAATAACAATGATTAGCATTAATATCATTATCATTTGCATATCAAGAACCCTGGAAGTCCCACCGAGAACCTCTGGATTTCAAAAAGCATCAGGAAAGACTTGCTCAGAGAGGCAAGAACCCTGGAAGTCCCACCGAGAACATCTTGATTTCGAAAAGCATCAGGAAAGACTCGCTCAGAGAGATGAGGAAAGGTGACAAGGCTGTGGGTTGAGTAAAGGCTCCCAGTGCTCCAATCACAGGAACATAACAGGAAGCAGAGGGAGTAAGCCAAAGCCATCACCTTCAAACTAGAAATAAGAAACACCACCTGGAAACGTTACAAAAGTGGAATCTCCATCTTCATTTATTGAAGTTTTCACATCAGAACTGGCTGCTTGTGAAGGGAGGCATGAGTCACCAGATCACTGGGCTCATTACAAGAACATCTGTGCTCTTGCCTGAAGACTGCTGCCTCTGGCTGCTGTGTCAGCAGGTCCAGGGCAATGTGCAGCCTGAGCAGAGTCCCCCACAGCTTCCCACTGGGTGACAATAACATACTGACCTGCACAGCCTCCAGCAGCCAGGAGGGACACACACTAGACCTCCCCAACCCCCATCACAGTGTTCCTTACTGCCCTGGGCCTCAGGCTGTGCTTTGTGTGGTGAGAAGCTTGTCTCTGTGCCTCTGAGAAGTGACCTCCAGTCAAAGGACAGTCCTGAAAAGACACAGCTTCTTATCTCTGTGCCTCTGAGAAGTGACCTCCAGCCAAAGGACAGTCCTGAAAATACACAGCTTCTTACCATTTCTCCACCAAGCTTCAAGGACATGCCTTGCTTGAGACCCACAGAAACTGCACTGCACTGTCAGGGCTCCCCTCACTCACTGGACAGAAAGTCCCACATGGTGGTCCAACATCCCCATGGAGCCACAAAACATCTGGAACAGCAGCACTTCATGCAGCTAACAAGCACAACCACCATGTTCTCAATGCTAGCCTCAAGGCTCCCAGCAGCTTCTGCTCCTGGGCCCAGAAGTTTTTTCATTAGTCTGGTCAGAATCCATGAAAATCCCCTGTTCATGCAGAGCCCAGCTGTGACTCCCAGGTGTACCATGGAGGGGGAATGGGTCTGACCTGGCAGCAATGGAGACAGCTCTGTATCAGGGCTCCAAACCTGCCAAGCAGATAGCTCCATCCCTGCTTCTTGGTTTACTCCACCAGGAAAACTTCAATGTTAAAGCTTCCTTGCTAGAGCCCAGAAGTAATGACCAAGCCACCACTGCATTCTTGGGGGACTCACTGTGGGACCGTAGGGCACTCATATATTCAGGATCTATTAGGCAAATCACAGTTACTGTAAAATTTTACCACAAATCTTAAAAGATCTCTAGAAAATTAAGCCTAGGATAGCAGGGGCTGTAGGTCATGTCCTCTCTCTGCTGCTCACAAAAAGCTACAACAATCAGCAGCAAGGCCAAAGCTATCAGAGTTGCTCTTGCAGAACAGCAGTGCTGGGCAGGGGGCAGAGCCTGAGCCCTGCACTGCGGCTGTGGATGGGCAGCTCTGCTGGCTGGAAGGTTGTTATTTGGGTGGGTGATTGGCTATCAAGGCATCTTGAGCTTTTGTGCTTTCATTTCTTTCCCTTATGTGTCAAAGTCAAACTAA